CAACTTCAAACGGGAAATTCTTGCATCAAAATGACAGATATAGTATTGTTTGTGCCAGTGGATAATCTTTTCACTCTCCAATGGACTTGGACGATGGAGAACTCTTATAGGTGTTCTTTGTAAAATTTGCTGCATTGGGAAAATGAAATTGAGATGCTCTGTATTTGAAATGTGATTGCAGATTGACATCAAGCTGCAAAACCAAGATAGTAAATAACTCCAAGAGAAGAAGTTTACCTGCTTCGTTGATTCTCCTTTACAGTCCCCACCCCTGATTACGTTATTCCTTGAGATTCTTTACCCTAATATGCATGTGCATTGTACAGAATGAGTAAATTACAAACTATTATGAGAATAAAAAGTATAACAAAGATGTGAATATTAACTGGAATCACAGATTTTGTTTACATGCTATTCATTTTTCATTTATAAATCTTCTATTAACACCTCAGGAGGAACTTGGCATGTATTTTGGATCTCAACCAGAAAAGGGTGCCCTGTACCCACTACCCAGCATCCAAACCTAGATAGAGAGAGATTTCCAAATTAGAATGACATTCATTCAACTAAGAGTGCTTAGAGACCAAAGCTTCTACACCAATAACCTTCTCTGCCGGGGAGCAACTTGTAACATTTTTTACCTCGATATATGCTCCCCCCATCCTTTTCGTTATCAATAATCCTTTCCACAATGACTGACTGAAATTTCTCAAGTAGTGCATTTCAAAAGTGCAAGTGACAAGTCTTTCAAGACATTTTAGTGAATCACATCCACAACATTTTTGGCGTTGTTCCTCAGCTAGAAGGTTATACCAGAGACTGACAGGTAATTTCGGAGACTAAAATTCTAGGATTAAATGTAGTGAGACTTATGAGACTCTCCAAAGATGTGGAAGAATGGTTGTCATATTGGTGCATTTAGATTCATAGGAATGATATAATTTTAGAAGATGGCCATCTTCTTCATTATTTTTCTTATCTACCTTGCCGAACAAAATTTCTGACATACCTCGTTCAGAGTTGAAGATGGCCACCTCCCCGAGGTGGCCATCTTGGTGCATTTAGATTCATAGGAATGATATAATTTTAGAAGATGGCCATCTTCCTCATTATTTTTCTTATCTACCTTGCCGAACAAAATTTCTGACATACCTCGTTCAGAGTTGAAGATGGCCACCTCCCCGAGAAGCTTTGCGTAATCTCCATGATTAATCATTTTACTAGGGCTCGTAATACAGTTTATTTCGCTACATTTTTGCTAAAAATTGAAGCTTCATGCAGTTGATTTACCATACAATTGGTCCTCCACATTGAGTTTCGAGATTAAGCATATGATATGAGGATCCTTCGAAAACCTTCTACGAAGTTCTTTATGATCTCCTTTGATTCAATTCCTTTGAAAAAGACTAGGTTTTTCTTTTGCATTGATAATTTTATTATTTGTGGTTTTTCATTAAAAAAATAATTTTTCAATTTATTATGACTTGGTTATTTATGTCATTTTCTTTACTTGTTTTGACACAGGGAAAGCTTTTGGAAGGTGAAGGGTTTGACTCTTGTGATTATGGTCCAATTTCACTCTTGTGATTGTTGTTAAGCTTAGTTAAGTGAGTAAATTGATTATTACTTTAACTGTTCAGATTCATAAATTTAATTTTGTATCTGTCCCTTCAGAAAGAGCAACAGATTAGAGCTGTTGAAGTTTTATTAATAATATTGCTTCTAAGTGCATGATTTTTGTCAGTCTTGTGATTATTAAAGTAGAGACTTGATTTGGTGTATATGTGCAGATGCATATATGGCAATGTGTTCTAGTGAGTGCTTGTATGGTTTAAGTGGATCTTGATTTCAGATTTTTCTTGTCAGCATATTGCTAAAAGTATAATTATGATCTCTCTTAAGTATTCTTTAAGAATTATGAGCTCTTGTATTTTTATTGTACTTATGATTTCCTTCGGGTCATACCTTTGATAACTTTGAATGCGATCCTAGGTGTCAAATCTCTAATTGTTTCTGGACTGAACATTAGTGGCAGGATCGAGATGATAAAGTAGTTCTTTTAACCCTGTCTATCTAGAAATTAAATACAATATAGTATAGTGTCCCAAATCCCAGTGAACTGCTAAAACGTTTTCTTAAAAAGAATTGTCTACAAGCTGTGGAGCTTCTTTACTTTACGCAAACCATGGATGGGTTGAATGGTGCAAATTTTTGAACGACGTTGATCGCCAGCAAGGTTATTCATCTTATATGCTACAAATTTGAGTTAATAATATGTTTTGATTTCCACATGCATTTTCTACATGTCGTCTTTCTTTCTTGTTGTCACCTAATCAGCATTTTACATGGATGAAGCCTGTTGTTAAGTTAAGAATCTCACAATGGGCGCAATGAGAACTTGTTTGCCAGTTTGCTAAGCTGAGTCTTATCGTACTTGTTCTTTTTTCTGATGTTAACTAAGAAAAAAGATTGAGGTTAGAAAGTGGATGAAATATCTATCAATTTATGGTAGAATCCTAGGATTAAATCACACCATAGATCAACTCCGAGCACTACTTCTAAACACAATATTGATTGGATGAGTGGTATCGGTAATAATGGAATTACAAGCTCCTTGTGGATGTAGGACACTTTTGAAATCATATTTTCTTTGATTTGAGGAGATTTATGTTCAGAAGGGGAAGGAGAGTTGACTTACGGAAGAATATGGGGATCCATTAGGTATGAATCCTATCATCATTAGGATGTTGTCTTTGAAGAGTTTAAAGGGGTGTAGTTGGATTCTTTCCTTTCTTCATCCAGTCAACCACGACTACAATGATCAACCTTGTGCTTACCTTTATCATCCCTCGACTTGTGCTCATCTGAAAACTTCCTCTTTTTTTTTATTGTTTCGGTTTCCTATGTTCCTTTTGTGTCCTGGTTAATCTGAATGGCCTCTTCCACGTCTACATACTCATCTACCCTGCTCAACAGCTCATGCATATAATCCGGTTTTCTTATTAATAGTGGCATTTTAAATAAGTGATTACAACAACTGTTCATCTTGGTTGTTACAACAGCCAACATTTGTAGGTCCTTGATTCCTAAGATTGCCCTATTGAAACAATAGCTTGTCTTTTCCTTGAGTCAGTTCCATGAAGCCAATAGTTGTTTTCTTAGTCGTTTTACTGTTGGGGGAGTGGAGTTGTTCGGGTGGTGGTGAAGTAGAGGGGGTGTTGGGAAGGTATGGTGGTTATGGCTTGGGCTGTTTGGTGTTGGTGGTGGTAAAAATTGAGTTTTTTCCTTTTCCTTTTTATTTGCATTTTTATTTATTTCTCATTAACATTAACTCTCCATAGATAATTTTTCCATTTTAAAATGTCCACGTGTTCAAATAATGTGTGATTGGGATGCTTACATATTCAATTGACGGAGCCACATCTGCGTTCCGTAGTATTTATGGATATAATCTCTTTTTGGAACTAATGGGTTCATGACATTAAGTTGAAGGGCTATTGAAGTCCATTGCAATTTAGAGATGTTATTGGCACATGATGTAAAGTTCAGGGACCATTACTCAACTAAATCCAAATATCTTAAGTATCCTTCATTGGCACCTAAAATATCATAGAACAATAAATAAATAACTTGAATACTTTTTCAGTATGAATTATGGTTTTCTTCTCTGTCATGTCATTTCTCATGATGGAAGAAATGGAGAAAGTGAGTATGATTGCATGAACTAAAGTGCTTATCATTTTTCTAATCTTCAAACTCAGTAGTGAAATTAATTTGGAAGAGATCTTATTCGTCCTGTTTGTAAAGGCAGCAAACTTGAATTACGTTGCGAAAAGTCGAAGTGTTTGTTGATGATTTGAAGAAGTTCAAATACTTTATCCGTCTGGAGATGTGTCTTCTCCCCAGTAATAAACTCATGCACAACACCATTAATCTCAACTGAGCTGCAGCCTGGAGTCTTCTCGAACCCTTGACTTTTCATTGCCTTCCTAATCCTCCTCGCTTCATCATATTTTCCAGCATCTGAGTATACGTTCGAGAGCAGAATATAGGCTCCACTATGGCGTTCTAACTGCACAATTCTCTTAGTAGCAACTTATGCTTCATTGATTTGCCCTGGTTTACAACAGGCACTAAGTAATGCCCTCCAAGCTATTGCTGCTTCAGAGGGAGCACTTGAAATCGGCATTCTCTGCACTACATAATTTGCTTCTTCGATAAGCGCAGCACGACTAAGAAAGTCGATTATGCATCCATAGTGCTCTCTTTTGGGCTCAATGTTGTACACATTAAGCATAATATACAGCAAATTCAGACCTTCATATGCCATGTTTGAGTAGCTACAAGCAGTGAACAAAGAAATAAACGTAACATCATCCGGTCTCACTCCAACCTTTTGCATCTGGTTAAACATCTCAAGTGTACAGTCTCCATTCCCATTCATAGCATATCCTGAGATCATAGCATTCCAAGTAACAACATCTCTGCTAGCATTTCATCGAACACTTCATCAGCTATATCCATCCCCCCACATTTCACATACATGTCAATAAGCGCAGTCCCCAATTTAACACTCAATGGCAATCTCAATTTCTTTACATAACTATGAATCCATCTCCCAATTTCACGAGTTATGAATCCATATCCCAATTTCAAGAGCGCCCATATGAGCACAAGCACATAATATGCCAACAAATATTGCTTCGTCAGGTTTATTGCCACTCTATTGCTTCGTCAGGTTTATTGCCACTCAATTGCATTAGCTTAAACAATTGTAATCCTTCTTTGAAACAATTATTCTGCACATACCCTGAAATCATTGCACCCCAAATCCCTCTATCCTTCAATGGAACTTCATCAAAAACTAATCTTGTTGTGTAAACATTCCCAATTTTAGCATACCCAAAATCAAAACTGTCCATAAAACAACACAATGCCAAGAAACTCATCAAAAACACATTTTGCTGCTTCCATATCATCAAAAGCAGAGTACATGAGAATCAAAGTATTGCCCACATAATTATCAAACAAGAAACCTAATTTCAAGCAATACCCATGAATCAATTCCCCAAGATCCAATCTTTTCATCTTTGCACCTGTTTTTAGCACATAAGAAAGTGTGTAATTATCAGGACAAATGCCATTTCTCATCATGTCTTTGAATATCTGAATCGATTTAATGTATTCATCTTTGAGTAAACAAGCTTTGATCATTGTGTTGAAAATGCAGTTTGTGGGGTTTTGAATCTGTTCAAAGATTTTGTACCCATAAGAGAGGCTTCCGTGAAATGGGTCTGAATAGAAAGCCAAGATTCTGCTGAGGGCAAAGCTATTGGTTCCAAGTCCACATGTAATCATCTGTACATGAACGTGCTTAAGTTCCTTCATGTTTCTACATTTTTCTAACAGTAGAAGGCATCTACTAGACATCTGTACTTTGCAGTTGAGAGTTGCGACAGTAAGCATGCTTTATTAGAAGCACCATCGCGCTACTTTACAAAGTCACGTGGTGTGAATAAAAAAAAATTAGAAAACCCACCTCCCTTCTCTCTCTCCACAGTTCCCCTCATTTTCCCCCAAATCAATTGAAAGAAACCCTCCCTCCCAAAATCCCAACCCTCCGGTAGTCGGTGAACTCCAGCATCTCCGGCATCATCCAAACCTCCGGAAACCGTAAAACTCCAGCACCTTGGTTTGGCAGAGCTCCGCGCCTTTTTTCAAACCGAACGCCGTATTAGAGACGGTCTCATTCCACCACAAAATCGATCGACATCATCTCGGTAACTTGTGATTTTGACATGAAATATGTTGGTTTTGAAGGTTCATGTTTTAATTTATGAAGATGTATAAGGTGGCTAGACATGGTCGTTCACGGTTTGGTAAATTGTTTTTACCCAAATTGATAGTAAAAATTTCACAAGCTTGCACTGAGTTTGCGGTTTAGGGTTTAGGCCGGTCTCCTCCTCTGAACTATGCACATTTAACATAGATGGTGAAATTTTGGATTTTGAAGTTGAACGTCGATGCTGATTTTTCAGTTTGCGTTGGGCTAGGGGCTAGTTTGTTAACACTGATGTCCACCCCCGTTGTAGATTAGTTAATTCTTTCACTGTGTAGAGCTTTATTTGCTGAATTTGGTAAAATGAATATCGTCTCTGTTTCTGTTTTTCAGTTGAACTGAGATGTTAATTTTTGAGTTTTAAAATTGAACTTAGATGCTGGAGTTTTTTTTCAGTTGAACTTGGATGTTGATTTCTCAGTTTCAACATTTAACTTAGATGTTGAATTTTCAGTTTAACTTAGATGCTGAGTTTTCAGTTTACATTTAACTAAGCGAGATTGTAAATCCCGTTTCAGAATCTGTGTAAATTATCACTTGCTCTGAACCAGTTCTTGATTTTTCTTGAATAAGTGCTTTTTTATTTTTTTTCTTCTTCTTTTTTTTTTCTATTTATTTGTTCCTTGTAGCTTTAAGTTTAGGACCTGCTGAAGCCTTCATAAATTGCTTATCTTGAGAGCTTTATGATACAAACAGGTAAGATTCATTTTTGAAGTACTTAAGAAATTGTGGCCGGAATCCCTTTGAAATGTATTTATGGAAGGATGAGTCAGGAGAAACGGGCAGCGATATACTCTCAATTTTGTGAGAAGACTTCAGTTTTGTTCGCCATTGATGTTGCTTCAAGAGGGATTGATTTCAACAAAGACTATAATGTGGTAACCAATGTTCGAATCTCAAGTGCGTCTTAATAACGACGAAGAATTGTTTACGTAGGTTGTAGTACTAGTTATGTATCAATGTCGCATGACATTTTGTATTCTCTTCGATTGCGGATGAGTATTCTGTAATATATATATATATATATATAATTTTTTTTTTGTGCGATGTAGTTTTCGTAAGCATGAATGCATATTACCGAAATGGTTGCCTTAATTTTGCGTTGAGTTGTTAATGTGCATGTTTCAGTCTCAGTATAAGCCACTTTTACTTGAGATTACCTACATGACATCTCCAAAGAATAAGCTGTGAATTGGATTGAATGGGGAAAAGTAAAATAAGAAACTGAATTGTAAATCAGAAAATTAAAATTTTACAATTGCACATATTAAGTACTAATGGCACAGATACAAATAGTGATGCCAAAATAAGCCCTATATAACTGGCGAAATAAAACCTGATTCAATTAAAATGGGGCTACTACTATGATCTAAATGTCGTCGTTGAGGAGCTGGCGGAACTTCGGGAGCACCATCCGGGATATTACTATCACACTTGGTGTTGGACTTTTACCTTTCAAGTGATTCGATTGTGCCTACACGCGCAACATAACAAGCTAAAAATCATTTCTACCTGTTTGAGGAAACCGGCTCCAAAAGCACGAGTGACCTTCAACGAACCTTTCACTCTTTCGTTGAATACCGCCAAGGGATCGTCTGGATGCTCAGTTCGAATCCTTCTAACTTCCTGAGACATGAAACTATACAAAATTTAGTACATGAATATTGAATAGAGGACATCAAAACCAAACAATTATCCTTAAACTAGATGGTACAAATATGTGTGTTACCTCTTTAACAGATGTACAACGATCCAAATACGATGCCTCAGTCTTCCTCAGCGCTTCGGATAGAGCTTTCAACGCCCCCAAATGGTTAATAATATTATTTCCTCGAACCACATCAACCTCTAAATTACTCAATTTTTCTCTTAATTTTCTATCCAACTCCACTCTTTCCTTAGTATCCAAACTCTTGGACATAAACGACTGACTATTGATGGTGTTTTCGCACGATTTTGACTTGTCGAACCATAATAATCCCTTAAGCTCCTTGTAAACGTTGGGATAAAGATTGTTTAACAAGAAATCAGTGGCATTAGGTCCACTAAAACCATCATAAATACCAACAAAAACAAATCCATGTTCCTCAAAAATCACACTATGTACTCTATCTTCACAAGCTTTTCCATGTTCCCACTGCACATTTTGACTCCCACACGTTATTATCATCAGTTAAGCTCACTTCGCTACTCAAATCATCATTGAAAATGACATTGGGTCATCAGAATGTAATTTGGAGAGGGAAAAAATTGAAAAAAAAAAGCTTACTGTAAGCTAGAAATATCTAACTTAACTTCAATTTTTTCAATACTACATTTTGTAAAAGAGATGGCAACGTGTGCTTTGAAGAAGCCTTCAAACGATGATTGTAAAATGGCTCTTACGAACAACTCCAATCTCGGACGGAGGTAGAGTTCACCTTAAAACCACACATTCTTACCGACATTTGCAACGACACGGTTCCGGAGATGGGAGGACATGGTTGGATTGGAAGAAACACGCCATTTGCCGTCCAAATTAACAATAATGCTACACGTACATAAATTTTATCACAGGAGCCTTACATAGGGCGTGTTCGGTAGAGATTAAAATTGAAAAACTAACTGTTATTGTTGACTTTTATTAGACGAGTGGGATCCAATAACGACCATATTTTCAATTAAAATTGGATTTTAATACTGGACAAACATGCTCATAATTTCAAAAATTCTGATGTGGCACTACAAGATTCATTATTTCTTGACAGCCACCAATCGCCCCCTTTTACCCACCCACCCAACCACAACCCAACACAGTCACCCCTTCCCTTTTTCCTTATTTATTGTCTCAAATTTCGAAATTATTACGTGAATGTTGAACAAAGTTGAAATATTGTATCCTTAACACCATTTCGAAGTACTCACGACCTAGTTTATCGCATTCTTAACCATGTGCGGAACGGCCAACCGTAGCAAAAGTTACCACTCGTCGAAATAGACCGTTCCAAAATATATAAATATATTTTTTTTATTTTTATCTTAATTTCGGGGTAATCACAGGATGTCAAACGAAATTGAAATCTTGTATTCTTAACACCATTTCGCCCTAACTGCGTGCGAAACGGCCAACCGTAGTAAAAGTTACCACTCGTCGAAATAGGCCGTTCCAAAATATATAAATGTTTTTTTCTTATTTTTATCTCAATTTTCGGAGTTATCACGGGATGTCGAGCGAAATCGAAATCTCATATTCTTAACACCATTTCGAAGTACTCACGGGATAGTTTATTGCAACCCTAACTGCGTGCAAAACGGCCAACTGTAGCAAAAGTTACCACTAATCGAAATAGGCCGTTCCAAAATATATAAATGTTTTTTTCTTGTTTTTATCTCAATTTTCGGGATTATCACGGGATGTCGAACGAAATTGAAATCTCGTATTCTTAACACCACTTCAAAGTACTCACGGAGTAGTTTATTGTAAACCTAACCGAGTGCGAAACGACCAATTGTAGCAAAAGTTACGGATTAAATTGCCTGAGGACTCGAAGCCCAGCATCGATGATTTGAAGTCCGTCAACGAGCTTGCCAATGAGCTCGAGCTTTCAGCGTCAAGGATGATGTGGAAGGGGAGGTCGGTACTCCCAATCAAGACCCTCCAGCTCACCTAGATTAGGACCCTTCCCCGAACATCAGTTTTACTTTATTTTTTATTTTTTTGAAAAATGTAACAAGTACACTACCCGACCTGGGCCTCCATTATTAATTAATGCTCGATGTTCTTATCTTGTGCTTTTGATGATTATCGTCGATGTTGTGAATGTGATTAGAAGTAGCTCGAGCTATTTGACAAATCTTAGTTTAGGCGAGATCGAGTTGCGTTTTTCAATTTCTTTGAGTTAGGATACTTGGCCCGTTGTCCAAGGAGCTCCAGTGTTGTCAACGAGATCGAGTGTGCTTCGACAATGAGCTTGATGCGAGTTACTTGGCTATTTTTTAGCTAAGTAGCTCGAGTCATGTTTCTACCATGAGCTCGTGCATGTTACTTTGCTGATTTGTGCCCAAGTAGCTTAAGCCATATTGCCGCAAGGAGCTCGAGGCGTGTTACTTGGCTGATTTGTGGCCAAGTAGCTCGAGCCATGTGTCTTTAATGGGCTTGAGACGTGTTACTTGGCTAATTTGTGGCCAAGTAGCTCAAGCCATGTTGCTACCATGAGTTCGTGCGTGTTACTTGGCGAATTTGTGGCCAAGTAGCTCGAGCTGTGTTGTTGTAAGGAGCTCAAGGCGTGTTACTTGGCTGATTTGTGGCCAAGTAGCTTGACCCATGTTGCTGTAAGGAGCTCAAAGCGTGTTATTTTGCTGATTTGTGGCCAAGTAGCTCGAGCCATGTGTCTGTAATGAGCTCGAGGCGTGTTACTTGACTGATTTGTGGCCAAATAGCTCGAGTTATGTTGCTACCACGAGCTTGTCCATTTTACTTAGCGTGGCCAAGTAGCTCGAGCCATGTTGCTGTAAGGAGCTCCAGGCGTGTTACTTGGCTGATTTGTGGCCAAGTAGCTCAAGCCATGTGTCTGTAATGAGCTCGAAGCGTGTTACTGGGCTGATTTGTGTCTAAGTAGCTCGAGCCATGTGTCTGTAATGAGCTCGAGGCGTGTTACTTGGCTGATTCATGGCCAAGTTGCTCGAGCTATGTTGCTGTAAGGAGCTCGAGACGTGTTACTTAGCTGATTTGTGGCCCGTAGCTCGAGCCATGTGTCTGTAATGAGCTTAAGGCATGTTACTTGGCTGATTTGTGGCCAAGTAGCTCGAGCCATGTTGCTATAAGGAGCTCGAGGCGTGTTACTTGGCTGATTTGTTGTCAAGTAGCTAGAGCCATGTTGTTGTAAGGAGCTCGAGACGTGTTACTTGGCTGATTTATGGCCAAGTAGCTCGAGCTGTGTTACTTGGCTGATTTGTGGCCAAGTAGCTCAAGCCATGTATCTGTAATGAGCTCGAGGTGCTGATTTGTGGCGAAGAGCTCGAGCCGTGTGTCTTAATGAGCTCGAGGCGTGTTATTGGGCTGATTTGTGGCTAAGTAGCTCAAGCCATGTGCTTGTAATGAGCTCGAGGCGTGTTACTTAGCTGATTCGTGGCCAAGTTGCTCTAGCCATGTTGCTGTAAAGAGCTCGATGCGTGTTACTTAGCTGATTTGTAGCCAGTAGCTGGAGCCATGTGTCTGTAATGAGCTTGAGGCATGTTTCTTGGCTGATTTGTGGCTAAGTAGCTCGAGCCATGTTGCTGTAAGGAGCTCAAGGCTTGTTACTTGGCTGATTTGTAGTCAAGTAGCTCGAGCCATGTTGCTGTAAGGAGCTCAAGATGTGTTACTTGGCTGATTTATGGCCAAGTAGCTCGAGTCACATTGTTACCATGAGCTCGTTCATGTTACTTGGTTGATTTGTGGCCAAGTAGCTCGAGCTGTGTTGCTGTAAGGAGCTTGAGGCGTGTTACTTGGCTGATTTGTGGCCAAGTAGCTCGAACATGTATCTATAATGAGCTCGAGGTGCAGATTTGTGGCCAAGTAGCTCGAGCCATGTTGCTGTAAGGAGCTCGAGGCGTGTTACTTAGTTGTTTTGTGGTCAAGTAGCTCCAGCCATGTGTCTATAATGAGCTTAAGGCACTTATTTGTGACCAAGTAGCTCGAGCCATGTGTCTGTAATGAGCTCGATGCGTATTACTTGGCTTATTTGTGGCCAAGTAGCTCGAGTCATGTTGCTGTAAGAAGCTCGAGGCATGTTACTTGGCTAATTTGTGACCAAGTAGCTCAAGCCTTGTGGCTGTAATGAAAGGATTGATCTCGACCTGGGTGCGATGGCGGAGTGAACAATTTTGTTGTTTTTATAGGTCGACCTCGAGCCTGGTCCCATGCATTATCGGTGCTCTCGGTACAACTTGCCGTAATACTTAAGTTTATTAAAATAATGAAGGTTACATGGCATATAGGCTATAACTGAAAGAGTAAAATATTAAAGGGTATTCAAACCCAAACAAGAAACGAAAGATAGAAACTAGAACTAAGTGCGAATTGAAAAATACTCCAAACCCTAGGCACTTGGTTGCATAGCTAGTTATTTTGAGATAAATCTTTAAGTTGTTAGCATCTCGTGGCAAAAACTAAGCGTGAATTGAGGAAGCCCTTATGCCATAGGGGTCTGGTTGCTTAATCAGTTACTTGTATTAATCTTTTAAGTTATCAGCGTTCCACGGCCTCAGAAGTGGTCTTCTGGAGGTACCCTTCAAGCTGTATGCCCCGCCATTCAATTTTCGTATAACCTCAAAAGGCCCTTTCCAAACTGGTCCTAGTTTCCCTGGGGGGTGTCCACCAGTTGCCGCCCTCCTTAGGACCAAATTGCCAACTCTGAACTTTTCTTGTCTTGATCTTGGTGTTGAAATACCTTGTTGTTTTGCTTTGATTACTGGCGGCCCTCAGCGAGGCTTGTTCACATACTTCCTCCAGCAGATCAAGGTGTTCGATAGTTTATTCCTCAACTTTCGGTTCAATCGTCCTGTGTGTAGGGAGACCGACCTCAACTGGTATTGTGGCTTCTGTTCCAAAAGCTAACATGAAAGGAGTCTGGACAGTTGCAGTCTTATGCGAGGTCTTGTATGTCCAAAGTATGGCCGGCAACTTTTCAGGCCAACTCTCCTTATCGTCACCAATCCTTGTTCGAAGGTCTTGTAATATAATCCGGTTAGTAATTTCTACAAGACCGTTACTATGAGGGTGTGAGACTAGTGTCAGGCGATGGCCAATCCCGAGCTTCAAACAAAAGTTTCTGAATTGTGAATTATCAAATTACCTCCCGTAGTCCGTTATCAGCACCTTTGGTATCCCGAACCTACACACAATAGACTTCCATACGAATGATCTAAGCATTGGTTCTGAAATTGTTGCCAAGGGCTCAGCTTCTACTCACTTAGTGAAGTACTCCACCACTAGGGCAACGAATTTTACTTGACCTTTTACCAAAGGAAAGGGCCCAAGGATGTCCATTCCACATTGCTCAAGAGGTGCATTATAAGGGATGAAAGCTAGTTCTTTAGGGAGATTGTGTATCGTATTGCCAAACCTCTGGCACTTGTCACACTTCTTTACATAGTCTAACGCATCCTTCTTCATGTTTGGCCAATAATAGCCGTATCTGATAAGCCTAT